TATCTCAGGTTTCCAGTGCCCATTTCAAATCTAGGTCAATCCAAGGAACCCACTGAAGAAGAGGTTTGAGAGGTTTGCCTTTGAAGGGGTGTTCCTGTGCTGGACTGGGCTGCAGTTACAGGGACAAAGAACACTGCTGGCAGTGGAGGTGCCCTGTTAACTCCACCTGGCTCCACCTGATTTTCCCAAAGGGCTCTGGCCTCCTGCAGGTCTTTAATGACATCTGCCAATCTGGGGAAGTGCCTCAAACACAACGGGGCCACTGGAGGTTTTCCCTGGTTATGCTTATGGTCAGGCAGCAAAGCTCTGTCGGAATACCCAGTATTTTTTTCAGTACTTGAATAATAAAGCAACAACTCATCAGCTCAAAAGACTTAATCCGTTCTGTAAAATGTCTCATGTGAAGGGTAATTTCTATCATGAAGAAATGTGATTTTTCATATTTTTTTTGCATATTCATCCCAGGAGAAGAAATACTGGTGTTCACCTGTACTTGCATTGTCATCGCTTTTCTATCGTGGTGTGCTCCCTCCCTCATCATCCAGGCACAAAACTCATCTTGATTACATAGACCCTGCTGAATGTCCCCTTTCCAGCTGCCTGTCTGGACCTATGCACTTCCCGTCATTCTCCTGGTTTGCCCTCTTCTTACCGTTTAATCATTCAGACCACTCTCAGTGACCCAGTTGCTGCTTGGAGTTTCAGTGAGTTCAAGGTCGCCCATCCCTCAGCAGTCTTTGTAATGGTTTCCTTAGTAAGACCCTCATCATTTATCACTGAATTAGTATGATATGGATTAATATTAACAAAATTATTTAAAATTTCCTATTAATCACTGTAAAATACATCATGTACAGTCATCCTTTTGGGAAGGTAAACATCACTGGAGGCAACAAAATAAGGAATTTTTTTTTTTTTTTAAATTGCAGCATGTTTTCCTGTTGCTTGTTTTGAAACAGGAAAACCCCTGTTCTTCCCACCTACGGAGGGCTTCAAAGGAGAAACCCTAGACCAATACCTATAGGAAAATGATGCTCTAAACTGAATCACAACAAAATCCAGACTTTAAAATGAAGAAAGATTTTTATTAGATGCTCTTTGAAATCTTCCCCCTTAATTAGAACATGAAAGCTCTACAATTAGCTGAACAAGTGTTGAAGACTTGAAGAAAATGGTGGGAGAGATATGGCTGCTTAGGAGTTTGTGTGTTTTAATGAGTTCCATGGAGTGTTTTGGTGCTGAGTCAATGAAACTTGGATACTGAGCGGAGAATGATGCAACTGTGTGAAAAAGCAAATGCAAAAGGAAAAGCTGAAGTGACTTGGAATATTAATGGGCCCCACTGAGGGCTGTTACTAACAAAGCTTCCCCAGGGACATGTTAGGACAGATAATTGGAGGCCATGATTACAGACAGGCAAAGCACTGTGCTGAGAAAAGTCTTGGTTTGTTTTGGTAATGCAGAAGGGCCAAGGCCTGACCCCAGTCACTGCGAGGAGAGACCTTGCATCCCCCTGTCTGCCTCAGGACTTTTGTTGGGGGTCTGAGGAATGTGGTGGGCAGTGTGATCCCACAAGAAAAACACTGGTATGACACCTCCCTGCCTCTGCACAGGGTTGCAAGGAAGCAAACACTGCAATGACTTTATCTCATCTCCTCATAAGCTCTAGCCAAACTGACAGGGCTGTTGGGTCCTTCCATTTTGCCAGCACTCTCTGCCTTCTCCTCTGAAGGTTTTCCTATGCTGTCCCACACTTTGTCCTATTTCCTGGAAATCTGCAGACACCCATCTCTATTCAACACCTTGCTCTCATCCCAGCATTTCCATCATTTCACCAACATCTCTTCAACCCTCAACAGATGTTCCTTGAAACACAAAGCTAGGGTCTGATCATAGATACTCACCAACATCTCCCAAGCCATGGGCCTGCTGCTGGCCTTGCAGCTTCTTGTGGAGACACAGCCAAGCCTTGTGCCTGCTGCTGCCCAGTCAAGGACTCAAGCAGAAGGGACAGGACAACCCATCTAGGGGCCTTCTGTCTGCCTGGGTTCTCCTGGCTCTGGAGGCAGAGGGGATCCCCCAGTCAGCATGCCAAGCAGGTGCCTTCTGCTGGCCTAGCAGGGCCACTGCCAGATGTCAGCCCAAAAGTGCAGATCCCAGGGAGAAGTCAAGGCTGACCTGCCACCTCCAGACACAAGTGACCTCCCGGTCCCTTTCTGTGACACGTTTCTTCTGCTGCCCTATCAAGTGCAGAGACAGAAGTGACCTCACAGTCCCTGCCACAGTCATATTCCTCATGCTGGAACAGGAGATGCTGAGGCAGAGCTGAGCTCCTCAGAGCATTCCCACCCATCTCCTCCTCGTGGCCCACAAGCTGATCAGATCCATGGCCCCTCACATTTATTTGGAGATAGGGCTTTTGTTTAGGTCTCTTAAGTAGTTTTCTAGTGTTATATAGACCATTTTAATGCTAGTATTAAGGGCAGAGATAAGAGTAATTAATAGAGTAAGAGCTAGGGGAATGGCTATGGGCTGAGTTTTGTCTTCTAGGGATACGTTGAGGTCAGTCATTAGAGTAGTGGATTCCTGTCAGGGTGCTGAGTAGCATTTAGGTTTAGGAATTTAGTTTACAGGTTGAAGCTGGGGAATAGCCTTGCATGACTATTTTAAGTCACAGTTACAGCAGCATCAACATAACCTGAACCCTCTTACCTCTACAAAGTCCTTAATTTTGGCTGGTCAATCCCCTATTCCCTTCTCTCTTTCTCACATTTCTCCTGGCCAAGCTTCTCCTGATTTCCCCATGTCAGTTATCTTTTTAGGGGCGTGTTTATGATGCCTTGCATGATCTTAGACTATCTGTCAGTGCTCTGTTGGCTACTCTATTCCTGAGAAAAGCGTCACTTAAGACACGATGGAAAAGGACACACAAGTCCATCAGATCACCATGTACAATGTGCCAAGCAGCTCTGCAGTGCCACAAAAGTGCGATTCCTGCCTACAAGTTTTCTTTCCAGAATGGCTCCTATGGCTCCAGGGTAACTTTTCCCAGGCACTCACTTCCCCAGGCCCCACCACTCTTGTCCGCAGGTCCCACGTGTCTCTCCAAGCCTCCCCTCTTCCCCTGCAGTAGTGGCACCTCACCGCAGCAGGTTGGTGCATCTCCAGGCTCAGGGGTGTTTCCTGAGGGCCTGCCCCATGTGGGGAGTGGTGGGGAGGAAGAGAGCAAGGTCATCTCCTGGGGCATGGCTGAGCACAGCCCAGCCATCTCGCACCGCGGGCAGGCCCCTGCTCCCAGGCTGAGGCACACATGCAAGGTGGACACTTCTCCATCAGCCCAGCTTCATGCAGGGCCCTTCAGCCCTGTCCCAGTCCCAAGATTTGGCTACTTCTCCACCCACAGACATACCCTGCTTTCCATCTGGGGACTCAGGCAGGACTTCAAGGATCTGCAAAAGCCCCGGATTTCCTTGTTTCTCACAGCCTTCTCACAAGTCTTTGTCCTGTCCCTCCCCACTGCCCAGCACTGCCTCTCACGTGGCACTCAGTGACCCTTCAGAAGGGCCTTTGGGCTTCCTCAATTGTCCTGGTGCTTATTAGCACCTTCCTGGCTCCTTCCAGAACATCTCATCCATTGTGGGGACAAAGACTGGCTGGGACAGCGTTTCTCTCTGCAGATCAGACCGTGTCTTGCTGTGTTTTTGATATGTGACCGGAACAGTGTTGGTCACCCGTGGTTCTGATCTCTGTTCCTGAGCAGTGCTTTCACAGCATCAAGGCCTTCTCTGCTTCTCACTCTGCCCCAGGAGTCAGTTGGCTGCAGGTGGGCAAGAGGCTGGGAGGAGAACCTGCAGTGACAGCTGACCCAGCCTGAGCAGTGTGAGTTGCCCATGCACAGGAGTACTTAGTCCTGCCCTTGTTTCTACACAAACCACCCTGGGACTTTCATCCTGTGACCTCCACTCCATGAAGAACCCCAGGAAACAGAAGAGCAGGGAGCAACCCCTTGGCTCCATTCCTGATAGCACATTTGGAAGAGGTGTCAAGGCTTCTTGGTTAGCCCTGAGCAAGACCCTCCTGTTACAGTGGTGCAAGCAGGGAGGCAGTTGTGACCCAGGCCTGCACAGTGCCTGCTGCTGCCTGCAGCCACAGGGATGCCACTGCAGAGACAACAGGACTGTCACCAAGGTAGACGAGATATCAGGGCTTACCCAGAAAAAAAAGAAGCACAATGTGGAAGCCGAAAGAGAACAGCAGTGAAAAGGCCACGTCCTGATGCTGGCCATGGCTTCAGGGAAGCAGCAGCCCTGACCCGAAGGCAGCAGAGAGGCAGAGCCCAGCGGGCAGGGAGGGGCAGCCCTGAGGGCCACCAGGGTTGCTCCTGCATGTGGCAGCTGGGCTCTTGGCCATGAACCCCTCCTGCATGCTGGGGCTGCTCCCCCAGCTCCAGAGGAGATGGAAAGAGATTGCAGCTCAGACCAATGAATTTCTTCTGGATTCTTTATTGTCTTTATCTACAGAGGAAGCCTGGTTCTATAGGTAAATCTTTAACAAGTAGGACGCTAAGATTAATATTATTTATATATGAAACAAGAGTTAGTGAAAATAACTTCACAGGCAAATATAAAGGAAAAAAAATGTATCTTAAAGTTTTCTGAAAAAATAGGTGTTTCTGATTATAAGCTAATTGTTATAGTCAAAGAACCAGAAGCAGATGTATTCAAGCTGTGTCCTCACTGCATCCCTTAGTTCCACGTTCCTCATGTTTTAGATAAGTGCATTCACTGCTGGAGGCACTGGTGATGGGAAGAGATTGCAGTTGAAACTAATGAAATTGTCCCAGTTTCTTTATTCAAACAAGAATATTGAATGTAAATATATTTGAAATTATCGACTTCATAATAATAATAATAATAATAATAAAATAATAATTAGGAGGCTTAGAATAACATAAAATCAAAGTCACAAGTTATAGGAAATAATAATAAAGAAAATTACTTTCAAGAATTTGCACTAAGAGTGTTTGTTTGCAGAAATCCTATTAGTATTTTATGCATATTATTAGTGCTGAAGGAAGAGGTATAAAATAGTTTCCTCACTGCATGTTTGAGCTCCTGGTTCCTCATGCTGTAAATGTGGGGATTCACAGTTGGAGGCAACACTGAGTATAGAACAGCCACCATCAGGTCCAGGGATGGGAAAGAGATGGAGGGGGGCTTCAGGTAAGCAAATATTCCAGTGCTGACAAAGAGGGAGACCACAGCCAGGTGAGGGAGGCACGTGGAAAAGGCTTTGTGCTGGCCCTGCTCAGAGGGCATCCTCAGCACTGCCCTGAAGATCTGCACATAGGACAACACAATGAAAACAAAGCAACCAAAAACTAACGAAATACTAATCACAAGTGCCCAAACTTCTTTGAGGTAGGTATCTGAGCAGGAGAGCTTGAGGATCTGGGGGATTTCACAGAAGAACTGATTGACAGCATTGCCTTGACAGAAGGACAGAGAAAACGTAGTGGCCGTGTGCAGGACAGCATTGAGAAAGCCACTGCCCCAGGCAGCTGCTGCCATCTGGGCACAAGCTCTGCTGCCCACGAGGCTCCCGTAGTGCAGGGGTTTGCAGATGGCAACGTAGCGGTCGTAGGCCATGATGGTCAGAAGGGAATACTCTGCTGCAACCAAGAAGAAGAAAAAGAAGACCTGTGCAGCACATCCTTGATAGGAGATGGCCCTGGTGTCCCAGAGGGCATTGGCCATGGCTTTGGGCAGAGTGGTGGAGATGCAGCCCAGGTCGAGGAGGGCGAGGTTGAGGAGGAAGAAGTACATGGGAGTGTGGAGGCGGTGGTGGCAGGCTACGGTGCTGAGGATGAGGCCGTTGCCCAGGAGGGCAGCCAGGTAGATGCCCAGGAGGAGTGTGAAGTGCAGGAGCTGCAGCTCGCGCGTCTGCGAATGCCAGCAGAAGGAACTCGCTCACAGAGCTGCTGTTGGGCATTTGCTTGTTTTGTGTATGTTGTCCTACTAAAGGAACAGAAATAGAGTGATAATATATCAGGATTATCTGAGAAAAAACATTTCCATTTTTCAATTAAACCTCTCAAAGCCTTTGCTGAACTGCACTTAGACAGTTGGCAGATCCCTTTCCTTCATTGGTTTCAGTTGTTCTCTCCAGTACAATCCAGACAATTCATTGTCATGAACCCTGCCTCCCCTCCACACCAAGAATCTAAAAGCACAGAATCCAAAAAAGTCTTCTGTTTCAGATAAACCAAGCCTCGATCTTCCTGTTAAAATGCCCCCTCAAAAATACCATTCTCTAAAAAATCTTCTATGCCACATTACAGGTAGAATAAGACCCATCCTGACAGATGCTATCAGCCATTGGATGTGCCAGCTGTAGAAGACCCCTCTGGCAACCCCACCTGCACTGCCCTGCTGCCAGAGCCTCACGGTGTCAGGAGCCTGCAGATGTGTCCTGCCACACGCTGCCCTCTGTTGTTGCGCTCCTCAGTGCCTCCAAGCCCTCTCTCCTTCTGTCCTCTCTGTGTGCCAGCTGTGGTCAGAGCCCCCAGCCCTGCTGCGCTGTGCAGAGGAGCTGCTCCCGGGCACAGCTGTCTCTCTGCAGTGCTTGCCAGGAGCTCCCCTTGGGCCCAGGAGCCCGGCCCAGCTCAGCAGCACAGCACCCGACCATGGCATCACTTTCTCTGTGCTCTTGGGCTCCCTCGAGGTGTCCCCAAGGCCTCAGGGCTGACAGCTCCCCAAGGCAGCAGGGTCTCTCCTGGGGGGTGGTGTTTGAAGCAGCCTGAAGTCATCACCAACTTCTCTCTGTAGATGCCAGAGACTGATTGTTTAAAGTGTGATTTGTGCTGTTGGACTGTGGTTCTTAAACATGTTGTGCTTGAACTTGTCAGCATCCTCAGCACCACACAGATGTTAGCTCACACCCAACACCCAAAATATAATTGGTTGAAACAAAGGTAGTTAAAAGGACAGAAAATGAAGAGACAGTAATAACAGTAACAATACTAATAATAAATAATTATAAACCTTATTTTTATTATTGTTATATGTATAAAGCAAGTGATGAACAGTGCAATTGCTCATCACGCACTGACCAATGCCCAATCTTTCCCGAAGCAGGGGTCCCACAGAACCTGGACGGTCTGCATGCGGCTCTTTACCTTACCTTGACCTTACTTTGTTTTAGGGCAATACAAGTTTTCAGAAGGATTTGCAACATTTGTTTCCCTTCTCAAATACTTCCGCTGTGCTACCCCATGTAGTGATGTTATCAAGGTATTGAAGGTTTTCAGGAGCTTCCCCCTACTCTAGAGCAGTCTGGATCAGCCAATGGCAAATGGTAGGGCTGTGCTTCCAGCCCTGGGGCAGTCAATTCCAGGTGGACAGGACGACCCTCCATGTGAAAGCAAAGTGTGGCCTTCGTATTGCTGTCAAAAGAATGGAGAAAAATGCGTTAGCAATGTATAGCAATATTAATTGTGGCATAGCACTTGGCTGCCTTTCAGTTCGTACTGAATGAAGTTCTAGCATACCTGGCACAGCAGCACTCAGTGGTGGTGGGACTTCATTCAAGCCACAGAAGTGCACCGTTATCTTCCACTCACCATTCGAATTTTGTACTGTCCATATGGGACTATTATAGGGTGAGCAAGTGTTGCTGATCACTCCGTGGCTCTCCAGTCGATGAACCAGCTCATGGATGGGAATCAGGGAGTCTCTGTTAGTGCAATATTGCCTCGGGCGCACTGCTGTGGTAGCGATTGGCACCTGCTGCTCATTGGCCATCAGCACCTCCACAGCAGAAGGGTCCTGTGAAAGAGTGGGCAAGGTAGACAACTGCTTGGTGTCCTCCACCTCCAAGGCAGCTATGCCAAAAGCCCACCAATACCCTTGTGGATCTCCTGAAGTAGTCTATGCCAATGTTACACAGAGCCTCCAGGCCAGTCCCAATGGGTTGCATTTGCCACTCCTTCCCCGTTAGACTCACTTCAGCCTCCTGTATAGCTAAGTTTTGGGTTTGATGTGCCAGGCCAATAATCCTCAAAGTCCTATATACTCGATTGTCCTCTCCCTCCCCCATGGTGGTGGCTGGGCCCCTCTAGTCCTGCTCATAGTATTCTTTACTCTGTTTGGAGGATTGCCCACTAGGAATTGGAGTAGTAAGTGTCTCAGAAGAACCCCGTTCTGACAATCTTTTTTTCCTTGCACTTCATGTATCCGTGCCTCTCAGGTGGAGGTCGATTTTTGCATCCCATTTTCTCATGGTCTCTCCATGGTCACACAGTCAAAAGCACAGGATGGAACCTGGTATGTACCCACTATGTCACCTTTCTTAAGTAGAGGGATGCTTACATCTGATAGCTGAGCTATTGGTTCGTGCAGGTGGGGAGGAAGCCGTATTCTCTTGGAGTTGTTGGACCTCTTGGGAAAGTTTCTTTCTGGACAAGACACAGGCCCATAGGGAAGAAGAGAGACTTGCTTTGTAATGCCATAGTTGGCTAGCCAATTCATCCACCATGGGTTCCTCTTGGTCTTTCCAGGTCATTACTGCCCATGGGTTGGCATATGATGATGGTGTGCTCTGTACAACTCATCTGGACTCATCAAGACCTCCAGACTTCATCTGGATCTTTGTTTGTTACCTAGGTTTATACAAATTGCCTTCGGCACCCCTAATTTCCTCAGGAACGGATACCCCTCTGCATGGTGGTCCACTTTCCTGGTTGACATACAAGATCTTCTTTAAAGAGGGACCTTTCCTTCAAGCACGATGGGAGTAAGTTCCTTGTGCCCTTTTCCAATCTCTTTGTCAATCACCCCTTCCCTAGAGGGGGATTCTGTCTGCTTGGCTTCCCTTCCCTCTAATTCCAGGCTATTGGCCCTTTTCTCCCACCACTGGAGCAGCCAGCTGACAATGTGCTCACCGACATGATGGCTAAAATATTTTCCCATATCTCATAGCTTACCCTGGAAAAGGGATAGCTTGGTTTCTGATGTTTATATAATCTCTTTGTCTTTGTCCTCCTGCTTCCAAGATGGCCCAACTTTGGAGAAACCTGCCTCATCTTCTTCTTCCTCCTTTCTTTTCTGGGTAGGAGTTTCTTTCATCTCAAAAGAAAAACTGACTTTCACACCCATTGTTTTCTCTTGCATGTAGAGGCAACCGATACTGGCACAGGCTGGTTCTCTGACCCAGCCATGGAACCCATTGCAGGTGCTGGAGAGGCTGCAGGGCCCATCACAGGAGTTGTTCTGGCTGTGGGGCCTTTTGGATGAGTTGGAGTGGCTGCAGGGCCTATAGCAGGTTTGGGAGTGGCTATAGGGCCTGTCACGTGTGTCAGTTTATCTTTGGGCCCACCTCAGGAGCCGGAGTGTCTGCAGAGCCTGTTGCAGGGTTTGGAGTGGCTTTGGACAGGCTATATGCCTGTCCTGGAGGAGAAGGGGGAGGTGCAGGAGAAAGGGAGAGGGAAGAAGTGGTGAAAAGCATCCCCCACTGTCCTTCCCTGTTCCACTCACCATCACCACCCACCCTGCATAGATTTACTCTCGAAAATGAAAGGCAAAGAGTATAAAAGAGTGTAATTCTAAATAATTTCTAAGAGCTGAAGAGATGGTTCCCGAGTTATGGAGGCGGCAATATTATTCTATCAGAAGTCAGTGTTATCCAATACAGCAAGGCAGTAACCTTAGACAAGTCCCCAGAACTGATAAACAGCATGACATGGAAGACAGACAGTTAGTAATGTGCTATGCAACGCAATTCTGAAAACAAGCACAACAGACTCCGGATCAAAAAGATCAACACTGTGATCAGCGACTATTAAACTGATCTAATGTTTATAACAATTTACTTTTAAAACTCTGTGGTCAGATCTGGCATCTCAACCTTTGTGCTCCACGCTAGGCACTATGAAGACTTGCTGTGGTTTGACCCTGCAGGCAGCTCAGCACTACAAAACTATTCATCTAATGAATGGGATGGAGGAGAGAATTGGGAGGAAAAAAATGTAAAAGTTCATGGGTTGAGATAAAGGCAGTTTCATAGGACACAAAAGGAAGACATTATTGTTGTTCTTCTTAATGTTTATGTTATAGACACTAATAGACTAATGATAACATTTTTGTGTGCATATCAAAAGACAGGAAAGGTGGTGGTGATTAACTGGAAAGAGTCAGGCCAGAGCATGGCAGACATGCTATGGAATGAGGGGTGGATATTATCCTAGTTTTGGTTCCAATAGAGTAAATTCTTCTTGCTAGTAGCTGGTACGTTGCTGTGTTTCATATTTACAGAATCACAAACTATTTTGGGTATAAGAGGACCTTACAGATCACATAATTCCTACTCAGCTGCCATGGGCAGAGGCACCTTCCACTAGACCAGCTTGCTCAAAGCCCCGTCCCACCTGGCCTTGAACACTTCCAGAGATGGGGCATCCACAACTTCTCTGGGCAGCCTTTTCCTCACCACCCTCTGAGTAAAGAACTTCTTTCTAACACCCAACCTGAATCTACCCTCTTTCAGTTTAAACCATTACCCCTAGTCCTATCACTACACTCTTTGATGACGAGGCCCTCCCCAGCTTTCCTGTAGTCCCCTTTAGGTACTGGAAGGCCACTGTAAGGTCTCGCTGGAGACTTCTCTTCTCCAGGCTGAACAATCCCAACTCCCTCAGCCCGTCTTCATAGGAGAGGTGCTCCAGCCCATCACTCATGCTCATGGCCCTCCTTTGGACTTGTTCTAATAGCTGCATGTCCTTCTTACACAAGGAGCC